TCATGTTTGTGTCTGTGTGAGTGCACTGCATGTCCTCATGTTTGTGTCTGTGTGAGTGCACTGCATGTCCTCATGTTTGTGTCTGTGTGAGCACACTGCATGCCCTCATGTGTGTGTTTCTGTGTGTGTGTGTGTGTGTGTGTGTGTGTGCACTGCATGCCCTCATATGTTTGTGGGTGCGTGTGTGTGTGTGTATGTGTGTGCACTGCATGCCCTCATATGTTTGTGGGTGCGTGTGTGTGTGTGTATGTGTGTGCACTGCATGCCCTCATACGTGTGTAGGTGCATGTGTGCTTTATGTGGGTTCCTCAAAGGAAAAGAAGAGTGGAGCCCCCTCCCTGAGCCATGAACACACACCCTTTCTGCTCTGTAGTCTGGACCTCCAGTGAATTTAAACATCTTTGCTCTGATTCCTGCATGCTGCCCCCCGCCACCAAACACCAGGTCACAGGAAACCTTTCCTCTCATTCTCCCCCCGCCCACCCTGTGAGTGATGGTCACCAGGCACGCGTCTCATCATGCAGGCCTATTTTCCTGGGTCTGTCTCCCCCAAAGCTGGGCCGTCTCATCAGAAATCACTGCTGAAGGATCTTTAATGAATGTACATAACAGAAAGGACCCCAATTAAAGGGCAGAACACAGCAGTGGCATTTAGGGTAAACAAAGTTATTTCGACAGGGTCGCATCCCGGCATCAGATAGCGTCCAGAAAATGAATTACCTTCCTGACACATGTCAAAACCAATAGCAAAGAGGATGCGGAGAACCCCCAGATCCGCCCCCCACACTGTTAGTATGCGGGGAGGCTGCTCACACACTTCCAAATGTATTCATTTATTCTGAACCCCTTGGAGAAATCAGAGAGGCCTGTTGTCCCCTTCCCTCCCGCTGTCCAGATGGGATTTGCGTGAATAACATCTGTTTAGTGAGGCGGAAAATAAGTACAGGATAGCATGACGGTGAGAGACTATACCACGAAAAGCCGGGGGTCACCTTCCAGTCCCGTGTCCCCCCTGGTTCTAATGCCCCCCACCAGCCTGGCCCGCCGTGGCTTTAAGTGGAAACGGACAAAATCCGTAAGTGGATTTCTGATGCCCCGGGCAGAAATCATCAGGGTCCACGCGACATCCGGGGGGGGGCACAATTAATCAGAGCATGAGGCTAAGTGCGCCGGCATAGGGGGACAGTTCCCAGGAATTGCCCTGGATTTCGGCGGAAACGTGTCCTGCTGGGGTGGGGCAGATGGCCCCCCCACAGCGGAGGACGACTGACGGCCCGAGAGAGATATCACCGTGGCGAAGAGTCTCATAAGGCTGACAAAGGGCATCCATTTGCAGGAGGGAGGGGGGGGCAGACACAGAGGTGAGTGGGAAGCGGGGGCCTACCTCTCTGAGCACGGTGCTCCCGTAGCCTCGGTACAAGCCCCAGAAGCCCTGGGAGGGGGGGGGAGGGAGAGAGGAAGGTCTGAGGTGAACAAGCTTCTCTTGCAGTCAGGCGCCCGCCGGACGAATGGCTTTTTAATGTGCCTGGGGCCATGCTGGGATGTGTCCCCCACCCCCCTGAGTCAGGATAAGACGCTACCTCCTGGCGTAGAGTCCGCAGCAGCACCTGCAGCGTGCCGGAGGACGGGCCTGCCTGTGCTCGCTGCTTCACCACCTCTGTGGGCACGCGGATCAAGCAGGCCACCTGCAGGATGACAGGGGAAGTGTCAGGGCCAGAGGCGAGAGCGAGAGACGAGAGCAAAGAGACGAGAGCGAAAGACGAGAGCGAGAGATGAGTGTGAAAGACGAGAGCGAGAGCGAGAGACGAGAGCAAAGAGACGAGAGCGAGAGACGAGAATGAGAGAAGAGAGCGAGAGATGAGTGTGAAAGACGAGAGCGAGAGATGAGTGTGAAAGACGAGAGCGAGAGGCAAGAGCGAGAGACGAGAGCAAAGAGACGAGAGCGAGAGTGTGAAAGACGAGAGCGAGAGATGAGTGTGAAAGACGAGAGTGAGAGACGAGAATGAGAGAAGAAAGTGAGAGACGAGAGAGAGAGACGAGGGCGAGAGACGAGAGTGAGAGAAGAAAGTGAGAGACGAGAGCAGAGAGACGAGAGCGAGAGACGAGTGTGAAAGATGAGAGTGAGAGACGAAGGCGAGAGACGAGAGCAGAGAGCCGCTTGCCCAGCATCTCAGTCTGCCTCTAAGCAAGGGGTTCAGTTTAATATTGTTTCCAGGAGGTGAAATCCAAGTATCATCATAACAAGACCTCTGTTCAGTTTAAGTGAGATTTTCATGCAGATCCAGCTATTAGAGCAGCTTATCCAGAGGATGATTTATTTAATAAGCCTTTGCCGTGTCGCTGGAGTACATGCCATCGTAATGCCCCCCCAGAGTCATCATACTGCCACCTTACAGAGGACAGGAAGCTCTAGCCAAAACCCAACTAAAATATTCCAGGTAGAAAATGTAAATTCCTGTCCGCAGGAAAGTCGGAAATGTGAGAGATGTACTTTCAGGTGCCATGGGAGGCCGGCCTTGATCCAATGCTTCACTGTGTGAATCTTGGAGCAGAGAATTAGACCTGTGGAGATGGGGGAGGGGTCTACGTTTGAATTATTCCCCCTTTTACTTTCCTACTGTGAAGTAAAGTTGGCAGACTGGTGAGACCTCAATTGCTACAGGATCCGAGTTTGGGCTGGAGGGGGGGCAGGTTATCCCACGCAGGTGCAGTGGGGGCTAACATTACCAGCTTTAGCACGGTACACACAGGAGCAGGCCCCCGCCTCCACGTACCAGACATTCTGACACTCATTTGTGCTACAAAGATGAATGACCTTCGTGCTGCACTCACCATTTCCTCGACATGAAAGTTATTTTCTTTCTACTATTCCCCAATTTATCATGCCCTGATCATTCAGCGCATTACGAGCACGCAGGAGATACCAGTCCGAGCATGGTAAGGGAACCAGACTGCCAGGTGAACATCTCCTGTCCCCAGTCTGGGCTGGCACATGGTCCTGGTCGCCCAGCAGAGCGGTGCGGTGGTTCGGTCACCCGGTACTGATCCAGAGAGACTCCCCGTGCTGCTCGGAAATAAGCCCCATGCCTGTTTCTGGGCCTGAATCAGCGCTGTGGTGAAACCCGACACTCAGAGCTGGTGTCCCGCTCCCCGACGGAGTGACATCCTGACAGACTCGTACCTTAAGTAATCCGTGTCTTTATCTGCAAGCGCGAATGTGAGTCCAAGCAGGTAACTAATTACCCACCACACACAGATGATAATATGGCTATTAATCACTCCACCTAAAGGAAGAGGGAAAGGTTACTGTCTCTGCTCATCTGTGCCTCACACCCCCAACATCCTGCCAACACCTCCCCTCCAAAAGAAATTAAAAATGCCAAAGACAGCCACACGCTACAGCAACACACCAACAAACATGCATTGTCCACTGCTGAAGTTTGACATTAATATTGATGGCATCTCACACCTGGGAAAAGCCTTGTGTTCTCGAGGGTGCCCCCCCCCACTGCCATACAGTCCCATTAAGGCCCCCCCCCCGGTGGCAGAGCAGAAACACAGAATAGAGAAACGTCTTCTGCTGGCCCATCCATCTCAGTCAACAGCCCCCCATCGAGGAAGGACAGAGCCATAGCAGGTGACCGCCCCGCCCCGCCAACGCAGTGTCCCACGTGCACCACCCCACCCCATCAACGCAGTGTCTGCATGGCACACAGCCTGAGAATGGTCCTCATTTCATGCACCGGTAGGACCGCCAATCACGTGACTGGGAAGGACGCCTTTAAACCAAATCAGACAGCTTGGGCCATTTAAGGCCATTTAACACTGACACGTAAAGCATCTGTATGACTTTATAAGGTACAAACTGTAAGAGCCCCTAACGTGAGGGGTCAGTCCTCAGCTAAGTAGTATATCCAGGCCTGTATGAAAAATGTTGGGCATTTTATAAGACGACACAGTGTGTTGGAAAAGATAACAATGCAAAAATTAAGAGATCCACAACAGGAGAGATGGTCTCAAGCGTTACAACAATGGACATTCCTCTGGGGAGCTTGTAGCCCAGAAAAACAGACGACAGAAAGTTTGGAAGGAATGTCCAGTCTGTCCAGCACTGGCTTGACATCACTTAATAATAATAGTAATATTCTTACATGTTATCAACACTGCCCTAACTGCAACTACACAAGTCACAGAACACAATGCTTTTCATCATCCTTACTGTACGCACAATAGCTAAAGGTTGTCTTGGCCAAAGCTTTTAAATGATAAAGAGAGCAGCACAGCCTAATTTGCACAAACATTGTGTCCATCTCTTACGATCACAGCTTGGCGTTTCCACGGGGCAGCCGCCGAACAGAGCCACCCGGTGCCCAGTTCCTTCAGCCCACGGTACAAAAGCATGTGCCAAGACTGCCACCTAGTGGTCTGCTCTTCGTTGCATTGCCATCCTCCCAACATCAAACGCCATCCCTTTTTTTTTAAATCATTAACTCCCTGTAGGCGTCGTTAACACTTATGACACAATCGCGGTAAACTGGAAATGTTCCATTTTCCCTCAAGTAATCCTCCAAAGAGCTGGAGTTACAGTCTGAAAAGTGAAAATTGGATGCGGGCCTGAATAACTAATTTCATTCGGACTGTGGTCAGAGCTCTGGTGAGCTACAATGGCCCATAAAAAGTAAACGCAGCAGTAAAAATAAACTACCAATGTAATCTTATGGGAGTTACGACTGTCGAGAGAGACACTGGATGGGAAGAAGGTATTACAGAGTCAGACTGAGAAGGGGAACTTCTGTTGTAGCCTAAGTGCCACTTGTAGATACATCACTCAATGTATGAATGGGGGAAATGCAGTGGGAGCTGCAGGCGCTTCGGAGAGGAGAGCTAACCCCGACCCTCACAGCCCGGTATGAATGGGGGAAATGCAGTGGGGGCTGCAGACGCTTCGGAGAGGAGAGCTAACCCCGACCCTCACAGCCCGGCCTCCGGTCGCACCACGGATGCACTGGCAGCGTCTTTCGCTTTCCCTCCACCATCCGTCTTCATTTACGGCCAATTTGGAAGGTTGGCGTTAATTAGGGTTCGCTTCAGATGCCAGTGTGAGCCCATTTCCAGCCTCATCTCCATAGATCCTAATGACGGTGCTTTAATTTCCGGCCCGGAGCACGCTGGCCCGCACCCAGTAAGGACACGGAAAGACTAAGAAATTATGGCTAAAGCAGAGCACTGCTTCTCCCAGCGCTGTCCCACCCTCCGGCAACCTGTCACTGCCACCTCCACCTGCTGGCCACACCTCGTCTGAGAAGTCCTCACAGAGGGCACACGCCTTGCCCCAAATCGCCGCATCACCCGAGACCACACCCATACAGAAGTCACTATGCCCATCGCCAGTGTTCCTTAAAAGGGGCATTGCTGCCTTAGAGAGGGTTCAGTGCGGGCTACAAGAATGATTCCTGGTCTTAGAGGAATGTCATACGAGGAAAGGTTAGCTGAGCTGAATCTGTTTAGCCTCGAGCAAAGGAGACTAAGGGGGGACATGATCCAGGTATATAAGATTCTAGCAAGTCTGGATGCTGTTCAACCAAGTAGTTACTTCAATATAAATTTCTTATGTTCTTATTCCGTCTAGTAAACCAGGAAGTCACAAAATCCTTCAGGTTCTTAAAGAAACACAATAATACACACCCAGCCTGAAATATGAGCTAATTATTTATCACCCAGAACAGAGCGCTGGTGTGGATGTAGGTCCGTTTTTAGGACATATATTCCTGTACAGCTCCATCCCTGGCTTTTTAACCCCGAGTTAAACGTTAACAAACGCAATAATTCAGCACGGTAAAAACGCTTATGGCGCACATGACCTCCGCCGTGCCTGATCCCGCGGTCGCTCCCGGCAACCGTGGCCCCATCCCGGGCTGATACGCGTACGGGCGTTCTTGTCAGGACGACGAAAACCTCCTAAATTGAACCATTTGTGCAGATGCTGGCCCTTCAGCACAAACAGCAATGGGCTCTCAGAACGGGGAGTGGGGCACGTCGATAGATCGGGGGTGGGGGGGGGGGGGGCAGTCCTCCTTAGTGTCTCGCAATAAATCACAGTCAGCGTCACCTTGTGGGTGAGGCACGGATTATTTGCCGCGCCAACTTAAGTGTCTGCCAGTTGCCCTCCCTTGTCATGTCACTGCATTTTCCAGTAAACCCTGAGAGAGACGCCATTTGGAAATGCAAGAAAACTGTTCCTTCAGCTTGACAAATGAGCTTTCAGAGCAAACGTCAGGCAGACGGCAATGAAGATAAATCTGAGATAATGGCTGAATAGCAACCTTGGTGTGGCTGACGGCCACGATCAGCGCGTCCACACGTTACCGGGTCGCATTTGCAACACAATGGGCCTCACTGTGGACTCGTCTGAAATGGGAGACATGCGGAGATAATGGAGACAACAGGAGAAAGGGGCGGGTCAGCAGCCGACCAATGACAGAAGCTCACGGGCGGAGTCTGGGACGGGTGGTCCTTGAACCCAGAGCAGCAACCAGCACTCCACTGACAGGACTGTATGTGATTAGAATAGAGACCCCCCTCCCATTTAATTCCCACATCTAGCGAGAAACAAATGCAAATCTGCAAATGCAATGTAACGCAGACCCTCAAAGGGACGTCTGTATATACACAGACCACAGCGAAATGAAAACAGGGCCAGGAAATAACTGTATGTGGAGAATTCGTCGAGCCCTATAAAGGTCATTCATCTTCACAGCGTCACGGGCCCGATGGGATTGGGCGGGGCTGAAAACGACTCTCTCGTCGTATCCGTGAGGAGGGCGGCGTACCGGATCGCGTCCGGATCTGGCTGCCCCAGCCTGAGACCTGGCCCTGAGCGGGGAGCAGGAGACCCGATTAACTTTACCACCGTGCTCTCCCCAAGCGGGACGTCACAAACAGCTTCAACGGCAAAACAAGGGATAGGAGGAGAGGAATCCCATTATAGACTGATGGAAAAGAGCTGATTTGTATTCGCCGCCGGGTGGAAGATAGGCAGAGATGGATTGTGGGCCCTGTCTCTGCGTGTAATCTCCTCCCTGCCAGTTGGCCGGGACGAACACCCACCTTGCGCTCAGACTCAATTTCCCGTCAATTTCAGGACGGGGCGGGGGAAAGGGCGTGCTTATTGGAAGCCGAGCTGAGCGATTTCATGACCCTCCAAAACCGTCAAACCAAGTGGCGCCGCAGAAAGACCAGCCGGCCGTACGGTGAGAAGAATGGCCGCCATCCAAGGAGGAGGAGGAGGACACAGCAGCCAGACTCAAACTCTGCAAGGCGCGTGAGGTCTTGGGCTGCAGCGGAGCTTTCCGGCACAGAAGTCACAGGGATTACCGGCATACTTCAGATGGCAACGTCTAAACCTTACAGACGACAGCCTTACAGGTCTGCAGGAAAAACCAGGCAGGACATTAAACTTTGAGAGAAGCAGAATGGCCAGTATTTACAGCTGGGCAACAAGTAAAAGTTAGCGATGGCTGATTTGGGTCTGGAAGGCTGCATCCTGCATTCAGCCTCCTAGCCTCAGGCTGCCCTGGGAGTGGGGCTGGGGGCAGCTGGGGGCAGGGTGGGGGCAGGGTGATACACATTTAAAGATACTGGGCCAGATACCTTAAACGTGCGTGTTTTGGGTAACGTCTAGAGAGGAACCGCAGACAGCAGGCCTAGGATGCATTAGGGCTTATCGGGAGGGAAAAGTGAGCCGTTTTAAAGCCAAATCCTCAGGCTAAATTGAGAGAGTCTGGGGTCTTGCTGAGGAAACAGCTAAGTCAATAGGCAGTAATGAGATCTTATTCACCCAGCTGATGGGGGATATTTTCAGATGGCGGGGTCTCCGACTCACCCAACCAGACTCAAAATCCCGAGCCAAACCCGCTGAGCCTTTTGCTTATTTATCTGTGAAATCTTTGGGAATTATGTAAACAGATGTATCGTTTGTATCATTTTGGGGGGGAGGGGCAGAGAGCGACAGAGAGAGGGAGGGGCAGCTGGACGTACGATTTCTCCCAAGGATGCGGCT